TTAGAGAACTGTTTAGTCCATTTTAAAATAACTTTCCTGGTAACAACTTTTCATAATTTTCCTTCATCGTAGAATTTCTTGATTTCTCTTTCATTCCAAAGGGACATTTTCACTGGATATAAAGTTATAGTTTGAAGGCCCTTCTTTATTAACCCCTGAAAAATGTTTATTTATTTTGTTCTGGCTTCCAGAAAATTTTCATTCAAATGGCTTTCCACCCAAGATAATTTTTACTGCTTTTTTTTCCTTAAATTTTTTAATTCATACCTTTTAGGTATACAATACATTTACATTTATCATTGGGTACTTGTACCTGTACGTGATGTATCTTGGTTCTTGTTTTTTCCCCATTCCCTTTCCTCCCTTCACTCCCTCCACCCTTCCCTATTTACAGCTTTTAAGATTTTCGTTTGTTTGTTTTTAGTTTGTTAAAGTTGACTATGATATGTTTTGATACGTATACTCAGGTTCGTCCAGTTTGGAATTCATTCAGCTTTTTGAGTGTGTACTTGTATATCTTTTGCAAATTTAGGATCTACTCAGCTATTTTCTCAGCACTTTTGCATTTTCTTTCTTTCCCTTCCTGGGACTCAAATGACATGAGTATTGAGTATTTTATTAGTATTTTATAGGTGTCCTATCCTCTGTTCTTTCCTTTTTCTATTTCACTTTCAGTATTTTTACTCGTATGTATTAGTTAATTTCTATTGGGAAACTTTTAATTTTCTTCATTCTATCCTGGTGTCTGCATTTTACTATTGAGCTTATTTGTTAAGATTTTTAAATTTGCATTTCTAAAATTTCTACTGAGAAATTGACAATTTCTATTTTTAATGATAGTTTCTATATTTTATTTGTTTCAAGTGTGTTCTTAATTGCTTGTTGAACTAATTTCACTATGGCTGCTTTAAAATGTGCATGAGTTAATTCTAACATCTTTGTCATTGACATGTTGGCATCTATTCATTGCCTTTTTCATTGAGTTTAAGATCTTCTAGTTTCTTTATATAAGGAGGATTTTTTGATTGAAACATGGATATTTGACCATCATCTTTTAAGACTTGGTTCAATTTTATTTCTTCTCACACTGTTCTGCTGAGGAAAGAGAGACCCCCCCTTCATTACTGTCAGGTATTCTTCTTAGCTGCTCAGTGGGTATTGATGATATAGATATGAAGGTTCTGGCTCCCACTAGACCTGTGCTGGTAACTTTCTGGGTAGTAGGCACAGAACTGTGTTGTTAGGCACAGAATTGCTCCCCACTGGCATTCATTGTTATTACCGAGGACTTAGAGGGTGGGCTCATTTCTCCAGGAAGATAGTGAAACACCTGCCTCTCTGTTAGATGTTTTTCTATACCACTCTTGGAGAAAAGGAGGGCACCTGGTTAGTGACTTGAAGGAGGGAGAAGACCAGGTTCCTTATGAGGAAGGGGGCTTTATTGTTTCCTGGAAGGAATGAAAGCCCTGCCTCCCTTTTCAGCTCTCTCTGCAAGTGTTCTGGCTAAAATTGAACTACCTCATTGGCACGGAAGTACTGTGTGAACTTCCCACTTGGCCTTTGCTGATGCAGATAGGGATGGGGCCATTATTTGATTCCTGTGCTGTTTAGCTGGAGTAGAGTAGCTGATATCTAAATGTATCTTCCCTTAGTAAGGGATAGTTTTTATAGGCCTTTGACTGGAGGAGGCTTGCTTTCCTTGTCTGTGGCTTGCCATGTTCCTAGGTTGCCGACTCCTTTGGTTCCAAGTCTGGGATATTTAAGACGAGAAAAGAAGAAACTCTACAAAATGCACCACTGTATTTCTCTTCAGCTCCTCGCATCCCTAGTTGGTCCACCTCTTCTTTTCATCTTGTAGACTGTCTCTCTATATAAATATATTTATATACACATATATGTTTATGGACAATGCACAGATATTTTATCTGTACCATGTGAGAAGAGTATTTTGCTTCCAGAATAGATGGAATAGACGTATTTTTTCCTCTTTTTAGAAGCAGAAATTTCTAGACTGATTTATTTTGTAACTGTAAATAAGGGATCTAGATTTTAATGTAAATTTTTCTCTTTTGCCATTTTTAATGTTGGCAATTTTTTAATATGTTCCAGGCTAAATATAAAAATGTCTGTTTGCTAACAGTCTGTGAATTCTGCCTAGCTCCTCAAGAAATTAGGTTTCTCTGACTAAGATTTGTCAATTTTTACCCAGTTATATGTAAATTTCCATCACTTATCCAGAGGTGACACTGCTGACAAATTTAACTAACAAGAGCGGAGCCCAGAAAGAGGAATTTATCAGGGAAAGATCCCTAGACAATGAAAGTGGATGTCAAAATATCCAAGCACTAAAGTTCTTGTACTTTATTAATAGGTAATAAGCCTTTAGGCTCTTATTCTGAGGATGATTTAAAAACTAAAGCTCATGCACATACACCCAGACACACACTGGCAGAAATTCTGCCTATTTTTCTAAGCACAATTCAAATTAGAGGAGATAAGATTTCAACAGTCAGGAACTGATGATATTAAAAAGTAAAAGCTGGTGGTGCAGCCAGACAGAGGCAAATCATAAAATAAATTTATAACACTAAGCCCTTGTGAAACACCTGTGACTCTTCCTTGTTGGTACAAACAATCTTGTATTCTTCCAGCAGGTGCTGAAGGTCTTGTTTTATCAGTACATAGTTTAAGTGCTGAGATTTACAATTAGAACCATGAATTTGGAGGATTTATATTTTGTTTGTTTTAGATCTGTCTTTCATAATTCTATACCTACTTAATTAAGAAGAAAAAATTAAACAGAATTAAAAATAACTCTTATCAAGTCTGGGAAGTTTATTACAATATCTGTTTTTAAACTTTTATTAAAAAATAAACCACAAAGTACATACTATTATTTTTAAAGTTAGAAAGCCCAGAAATAAGGCTGGGGATGTATGTAGTTCAGTGGTGCCACTACCTGCCTCACAAGCACAAAGTCCTGAGTTCAATCCCTGGTACAAAGAAAGAAAGAAAGAAAGAGAGAGAGAGAGACAGAGAGAGAGAGAGAGAGAGAGAGAGAAGGAAGGAAGGAAGGAAGGAATGGAAAGAGAGGAAGAAAGAAAGAAAGAAAGAAAGAAAGAAAGAAAGAAAGAAAGAAAGAAAGAAAGAAAGAAAGAAAGAAAGAAAGAAAACAAAAAAAGAAAGTCCAGAAATAATTCTGACAAAGGTGCTATCTAGTCAGTGGCCATGGGAATGGCATCCCACCTAGACCTCAATGGCCATGTGCTCAAATAGTCTATAAAATGGATTCTAAAACATTGAAACCCTATGTTGGAAACTAGGAACAAGGATTTTTGGCATTTGGAAATTGCAATAATGTGAAGGCAGTTGAACTGACTGTGCAACCGAAGAAGCTTCCATGCCAACATTATTTTTGTTCTCCAAGAAGGTCCTGGGGTCTTGACTGGTGCCTCTCAAAGGTGCTTGTCACCATGCTTCATCAGTAGTGGTAAAGGACAGGAGAGTTTTGTTTTCCCTAAGTGACTATGACAGCAGCACACCTGAGCTTGGAGTTTATAATAGGAGTACCTTGTTTTATTGCCAATTGTCAAATGAAATTTTCCACAATTACAGTATGGGTAGTATGTGAGAAAGCATATAAATAGATTAGGAGGGTCCCAGAGATCCAGAAAGGTCCCTTAGTGTAGAAAGACAGGGGAGGAAACCCTTGACTTCTGGTGTCTGGGGTCCAATGCCTCCCACATTTGTGTGCATATGGGCTAACTCTTCAGAGTGCAGACATCCCATTGCAGTGTAGCCAATGGCCAAGGAAAGGTAGAGAGATTCAGAACTACAGGCAGATCTGATCCCCCAGAATTTCCCTACATATTGAGGAGCCAGTGAGCAACAGTAGCATGGAGAAAAATCATTACCCTGGCTCTGGGTTGTATTTTGCATTTTAATTAAAATTTGTGTTTGTCCATTCTGTCCAGGCCCTGGCCCTGTGGTGTATGCTATTTTGCCTGGCAAATGAAATCAATAAGAGCCTATCATTTGGAACATGGAGGCGCCTAAGCATTTTTTGTTGTTATTTGCTAGGCAGAAGGCTGGTGTTTTCTGAGTGACGTTTGGCATACATTTCCAGGCCAAGGGTATCAAATGACAGGCTGTAGGACTCTTTGGTTGCCAGTTTATATATTAGAGCATTTTCTGCCCACCCACTTACCTATTGTATTCAGAGCTCTTCCTTATTTTTTCTTGTGTGCCTTGGGTGTCCTACCAATGAAGGGGCTAGTGTGGGCTTAGATTGTGAGCAGGTTGTTGTGTCAATTGGACCTTTTGTCAATAAGGTCTCTTGTTGATAGGTGACTAGCAAGAAGTGACTATGTGTGTCCAGACACAGATTTGCAAAGGAGAGAACAGTGACTGGGAGTTTACTGGAGGCTCATTAAAGAAACTGGAGGAAGATGATTTGCATATCAATGTTGCCTTATATTATTGTTCTGCAGACTCACTCATGCCATTTCACGGTAGCTAAATGACTTGGTACCCTTGTGAAGCATAAAGGCACATATCTGTGCCTCATGTATGTAGCACTATGCTTTTTCTTTCCTTTTCTTTCTTTTGCTATTTCTTTTCTCTTAAGCTCTTTTAGAGAAAAAAACAATAAGAAAGAATGTAATTAAAGAAGGATAAAATCATTTTGCCTTTGAACTACTTTATAACAGGATCTTCCATTAGAGTGACAGAATTATCCTATCATCTATAGATAATCAAAAGATGAGAGGTTTTTTGCTATTACTTTTCGCCTAAATCTATTAAATTAAACAGCAACAAAATTAATTTACTGTATCGAGTTCTTCTATTTAGACTGATTGTTTAAATACACATTAAGCTTTTGCAAAAGACATTATGCAGGGCTAACCAAGCTTGCTTTTCTGTGCTTCCATTTGAGTCAGAATTAAAGACAACATTTCCTATTATCACAGTCTTGGTTTTTTTCTTTGATGTTTTTTTAGGTGGGCAAAGTGACAAGTGCCAAAACTGAGGCCTGACTTTTCTCCAAGCAGCAGCTTTTCTGCCCGATCTGAAATAATGGATGTGAAGGACCGGCGGCACCGCTCTTTGACCAGAGGGCGATGTGGCAAAGAGTGTCGCTACACAAGCTCTTCCCTGGATAGCGAAGACTGCCGCGTCCCCACGCAGAAGTCGTACAGCTCCAGTGAGACGCTGAAGGCCTATGACCACGACAGCAGGATACACTACGGAAACCGAGTCACAGAGCTCGTTCACCGAGAGTCAGATGAGTTTCCCAGGCAAGGTGAGTCGATTTGCCCTGCTGACTGGCTCATATCACCTTCCTGACTTGCCCTGTCGCATCCTGATGATGGAGGTTGGTGGAATCCAGGGCTAAGGCGTATTGGCAAGCAGTTGCCTTATAAGACTTTCTTTTAGGGGAATAATCCCTTTTACCATACCCAACTCCTACAGATACGACAGAGATGCATCTTTTATCCTGGACACTGAATTCTTCAACAATTTGGTGTTTGTTTTTTGGAGACCTGTCAGGTGTGTTTTAACAAGTGTAACATAGAGCAGACCCAGGGCTCGATAACAGGTATTTCTGAGATGATAGTCAACTTCCTTCAGAGGAACATGAGATTACCTGTGGTTTTTAAACTCTTCTCTTGAATCCCATTCACAAGCCTCCAATTTCAGGAAATGAGCTTGTCAGAAATGGTGTGTAATCCTTAAAAGATATCTGAGATTATCTATCTATGCATCTATTTATCTACCTATATCTATCTTATATTTTAGAGTATAGTTGGGCATGCACATGTTACTATCCAATTACATTGATATAGTTCTCTCTCCTATTTTCCCCAGGCCTGACTTTCATTATACTGTTATGATTTCTCTTGGGAGAAGAATATTTTTCTCAAAGGCACTAACAATTGCCATTTTCCTCATGTCCAGTATCCATGAAGAATTCTGTTATCCAGGGTTTACTGTCAATGCCTCTGCATGTGGACTAAAGCAAAGGATTTCTGGGAGGCAGAGTGATGAAGTTCATTCACAAACTCCCTGTATTGCACTTTGAGCACCAGCCTTGCCTCGCCTTGTGTGCAGTTCACATAAATGGGGCAGCAGAAATAGAAGTCAGTGCTCAAGCTGCAGTGAATACACTGGGGAGGGTTACTCTGCTGGCACCTAGGGTCGAGACCTGCTAGGTTATTGCACCATTTGTTTTATAACACTGCTTCTTTATTTCTTATTCTATGCCCTTGGCAGCCAGTGTTGCAAGGAGTTTAATTTGTAATGAGATAATACCTTGGAATTCCATTCCTGATTTCTTACCATTTTAAATTCTGAAATGACTTTTACTTTAGAGAACACCTATACATACACACACATATACACACATACACACACATATCTTGCACACACATTAGCATAAAGACTAAAATTTATAAATCTATAATTTGGAGGGTTTTCTAAAAGCATGTTTACACATTCCCATTTTATCCTAGTTCTTCCTTTTATAGTTAACAGAATTTTGAGAAAAATCAACAGAGAAACAGTTAAAATGATGTTATCTTTGCCATTGTAGACCCTTGCAAGAAACTATTTTTATACCGATCCTCCTCTAATAGAAAAAAGGGGCAGGAGCTGCTGGGAACATATTCTGGATCCAATACTTTTAATCTGTGAGTGATTTCAATATGTAGTTTACTCCCTTAAGTTCTCACCTGACCCCTTGTTACAGGTAGTGAAAATTGGGGGAAAAAAATCATGACTTAATTAATGAAGAGAATACTTAAATTTTCAATATGAAGAAATTGGACCCCTGTTATTTCCATCAGTTTCAGGAAGATGAGACTCTGATATTTTGGTAGGGGATGCACGTCCAACATGGTTGAAAGCTTTTCATCTTTTGCTGCAGTTTTTGTGTCATTTGCAGTGTTGCTGCATACATTTGTGTTTCTCGTGATTCTGTCCTGAAATACACACTTTTCCTCCCAAGTCTCATTAAAGGCTCATCCTGACTTCTGGATCATTGTGCACCAAGCTGTGGATTCTAGATTATTGTTGAATTGTGGATTGGCCTGTCACCTTTTTCCTTATTAATATTTACAGAAAATGAAACCAAGTGCTGCATTTTGTTTTCAAATATACCTTTATTCTTCCTGTTTAATCTTGTTCCCCTCCATTGATAATAATGGAAGTTGCTTGGCCATATCAGACTCATAGCTTTGCAATTAACAATTCACACATGCCGCGTGTTGTTATTGAGCCCATATTTGTTTGTGTAATGTGTTTGCATGAATTAAAAACTGTGCAGTCCAAAAGTAGAAATGAAAAGGCATTGGAAAGTATTTGCATATGCAAGTGCAATTCCTTCTGAAGACATCTATGAATTTATGCATGAAAATGTAGTCAGAGTCTGAGTGGATCTACTTTGATAGGTTCTAAAATTGAACTCTGCAGGAAGTAAATAAGCACATATTTAAAGAGGGGAGGAACAGGAGATACAATCTGGCAAGCAGCACGTGCAACTTGAAACTGAGCCACTACAGAGAGGGTTAAAATAAATCTTACACGGAGTAATAACAATAATTTTTTTTAAATGTCATGCATTTCTCATTTTATTTTCTTATTCATGAAATCAAAGAGCAGGATCATCTTAGTACTTATTAGGCTAGAGGTACATTAACAAGGATCATAGCAGGATCATCTCCTGCAGTATTCTTATTTAAAACCCAAGACACTGATCATAAAACAAACATGCTTCTCACATATAAGCAAGTTTGGCAAACACAGTTGGATGGCTCTCTAGCTGGTCAGAGTAGAAAAGAACTGTCAGCCAGTAAACGGATGTGGGGGCCAGAGCCCAACCTTGTGGGCTCGCCCGCCTGGCCTGCAGAAGTATCAAAAGAAAGAACCTGCATTTCCCAGCAGGAGAAATGGACCGACCAGGTATTCCCATGAGAAGGTTGTAAATGCTCCTTCAAATTGTGAAGACTTTGTTTGCTTTCAGCCCAGAATCCTCCTCTACCTTCTCTTATAGTGACCTCTTCTCCTAAGTAGAGACTATGCAAATCACCTGCCTGGCCTCTATTATGCTGGAACCCCCTGGTGTGAAGGGAGAGAACCGCTGACCTTAAATCTGTGGCCACAGGAATAATTAGTAATTAGTAAATGACTAATCTCACACGGAATAACAGCCTCGTGGTCTGAGAGTTAATGCACCTGACAAAAGTGAGCAGTAGGCTGATACCTGATCAGAGCAAGGCCCAGTCCATCCTTTGAAATAGAAGCGGCTCTGAGTAATGGAGGTCGGCCAGGTTCCCAGGTAGGGTGCACAAGCTTATTCTGTTGGACCTTGAGTTAGGATGCAGAACAGTGTGATATGCAGTGTTCTCTTGTGGATTAGGAGCCTGAAGTTAGACAAGAATTTACCTTTTGCATATTTCTTTACCTATGACTTTGGTTTGCACTCTGTGACTCACCAGGACTGGTAGTTTTTAGTTATATTAAACAACAGTAATAACAAAAGAATACTAACATTTACTGGGTACTGCTTAGATTTGTACATAGTTTTTAGTTCTATTGAACAACAATAATAATAACAAAAGAATATAGTAACATTCTAAATTATGTAAGGCCAGAAAAGGTGGAAACAGGTTTCAAAGCAAGGGAATTACTTTCAACAGCTGTGTTTTACACCAGTGTGTTGATTACTCCCTTAATAAATGAGTAAACAAACCAAAAACAAATCACCAAACCCTTACTCGAGTCTAGGAGGAGCCTATAAAGTTCACTTTTCAAGACTTATAATAGGTACTGTAGGCACTAACATTGATTGAAACTATAATGTGTACTGCCATCAACCTTGCTGATTTATCTTCCTCCTATCATCAATTCTCTGCATTCCACAGCCACTCCAGAATAATTCCTCCCTAGAATAATTCCTTCCTGCATCACCTCTCTACCAACCACTCCTGTAGAAAAAGTTCCTAGGGCAGGAATCTCTCCTTGGCTGTCAGCACTGATTCTCTGCCCTTCCCTGTAGTCTTTACCTTTTGCACAACCTCTCAACCTGGAACACTAACTAACCCAGCAAGGTGTCACTATCTAAATGATATTGCTCAGATAAGCAGAACTGGTTGGTTTCTGTGCTGAAGCTCAGTGGGCCAGAGAGTTCAGCCAGGCTCCTCATTCCTCAAAGAGCCCTTCTTTCCAGGTAGTACTTCAAGTCTCTTAAGAGGGGGCTGAGATTGAATTTTTTTGCTGTCTTTTTGGGTCAAGGTTGAAGAAAGAATTGAAGGGAAGATTGGATTTCTGAAAGTATGCTTGCATTAGTTCTCTCAGTCAGTTAGAGCACAGAAATAAATTATATGACTCTTTGTTGTGCTTTTAAAATATGCAAATATACCACATAGACACATTTTAGGCTAAGTTTGGTTTGGGGACTTCATAAACTCATCCTTTCTCCTAGGACTTTTACAATAGCTTTTGGCAACAAATTTCACATAGTACAAATTTAGCCCATGTTAAAGAAAGGAAAACTCATGAACCACTAGTAAGCTAGATAAAGTATGGTTTGTATTGATTGTTGAAATACTTTGGAAACCTGTAAATATTTCTTTTCATAATTGTCTCAAAACAGTTAATGTTTTTACTATACCCAAACAACAGTTATAAAGGGTCTGGGTTGAAAACCACCACTCTAATTTGCTTACAAAGGACAACTTTTAGGTTTTAGTGAAGTTGAAAAATTCCATTAATATTTGGATGAAATGTACTTTGAGAAAATTGCTTTCAATTCTCTTGCCTCTTCATAAGACTTCTTTTCATAATTCAGCTGAGAATAAAGTAGTGCCTCTTAGTCTTTGGTTGACTTGTTGCTTGAAAAAAATCTTTTGAAAAGGAGAATTTATAACCTTAGAGCTCTACGTAACCTCTGATATTCTTGCTGGCCAACTTAAATCCTCATTCTTTCTTATAAGAAGCATATAGTAGAGGGGTTGAATTTTGTGCATATGATAGTGCTGATAAGTACTATCAGTGTGACCTACATCAAATTCTAGAACATAGACTAGGTCTCATTTTTCTCCATCTGTAAAAGTTCTCTCCACCTATTGTTATTGGAATCCTTTCAGTTATCAATTTATCATACTATGGACCTCATCTTTCTTTTGGTGAATGATGAATAAATGCTAGTGTTGGTAATTATAATTATTGCCATTTTAATTTTATTACTAGCAAAAGTGGAGATCAGCTGCTCTCCAACCCTCACAGAAATCGTTTTCCCTTGGA